CCTCGTCCCAAGCACAGGTAAAATTAAAGAAGTTGTAGCCCCTCAGCAGATGTAACTGACCTATGAGGAGGAAGACAAGTGGCTGCCTGAATGCCTGGATACATCGTGGTCACAAATTAGTTTTTTTTGGGTAAGCAGAAAACTTTTAAAAGTGAGAGAGAGGCTTAACAATCTGGGATTCAGGGGTATGTTGGGTTAGCCAGTAACAGATACTGTACATCCAGCCTGTAGGTAGATGAGATTGACCAATGGTTCCACTGTGAGTGGGTTTCTCTCTCTTTCCAGGGAAAGTGTAACAGGCTCAAACGGGATTGTTTCAAGAGGAGCCAGAGTCTACAAGCGCATGACATGGGTCTCAGGGCTGCACATGGAAGAAACAACTGAAGACTTTTTCATTAGGAGTTAGAAAAATAATGACATCCTGCAAATCTTTTTCTAGTAGTCTGAAATCTGCTGAAGAATTCTACTTGGCTACCATTCAAGTAAAAAATATCCTTCAGATTCTTATCACATCTGTTCTCCAATAAATTTTGTATCAAAGGCAAATTGATTTTGCTTATAAAATACAAAAATCAGGCTTGTTATTTCAGTCATCACTTGCATTTTATAATGTTAAAAAAGCAAATTGGACCGTAGCTAATTATTTTCAAATGTGTGTTTGGACATTTTGTCGACATGAGTAATTAATTAAGTCCCTTTTTTGGGTAAGTCCAAAGAGCCCAATTAACATGCCTAATGTTGCAGCATCGTGTAAAAACATTGGTTTTTAATACCTGGAGGATAGTTAAATGACTTCCCTTCATTATTCAAATGTCTATGCAAAGCCACCACATGGGGGATGGCACAAACATGAAAATCATGCTCAGAAAGCTGAATGCGGAAAACTGAGGGGCAGAGAACGAAAAACACCACTGATATCCAACACTTGGAAGTCATTTTTCGTCCCTAAACATAGTCCCATGATTAATTAATCAGCAATCTACATATTTCTTCCCTTTTGGTAAATTTACAGTCAGTTCATAAACTGTGTTGTAGGATATTTTACATTATAAAGCTTAGTTCTTGGTTCAGTTTAATCATGTCTTGGGTCATTGGGGCTAAACAGGGAAGCTGTGCAGGCTTCTGTTATTTTTGTTCAATTTTCACAATGAAGTCAATGGCAGCCCTATGAGCCGCCTGCGGGAATGGTATTAAAGTTGGCACATTGATGCAGTTGGCTCTTATGAGTAATCTGGCCCAATTTGGGCCCTCTAACTCAAGCTCTATAGCGCCACCACTAGTTCAAACGGTAAATTATAGAAACAAAATTCTAGCTTCCTTTTAATCCTTGGATCATTTTAATTACCTTGAAAACTCTTTTGCAAACTTTTATCTTGTGAACAGCTTCTTGTGATTGGCTGGCATCTGGCAAGTACCCGTGATGCCTTTCACCCAAAGTGAGACCTGTGTAAAAAAGTAAAATTGTGGTTGGAAGATGAATGAAGGTTACAGAATTGTTCACAGCTGTCATTAGCGGTAAATGATTGTAGACATTTCTCAAATCTGTTCCTGTTTCATGGGACAGTTTCATGTTTATGTGTAAATGATACGACCAAACACTTTGTATGCTGTTTTTAAGTTTCACTGTTAATATTTATTTTTAATGAGGGTAAGAGGGCCATATCGAAAGCAATAAAAGCAGCATTTGGCAACACAATCCACTTCATATTACCCTACAAAGTAAATACTACAAAGAGGTAACACATGTTGAGGTATCTCAAAATCCAACACATGCTGAGGTCTTGGAAATGAGGCAGACCCACAGTGTCAAAAGAATGCGTACTTCTTGGATCATTGTGGCTAAATGAAACCTTTTAACACAGAAAGAGGAGAGTGATTTCTGAAGAGTATAAAGTTTATTTTGATTTTTCCCTACCTCAGCACATCTGAGAATGGCTTTTGGAACTACATAGCTGTCAAAACAAAGATGACCAAGAGTGGCATGTTACCGGTATCAGAAAGATGAAGCAGGAGTGAAGGAAGGGTGTTTCTCAAGAGGACTCTTTCTCTCTTTGTCTCTCTCTCTCTCTCTCTCTCTCTCTCTCTGTCTTTTTCCTTCTGTTCTCTTGTTGGTTCTCACAGGAGATGGTCACAGCTGGTTGTACTTACAGCCTTCTGTGGTAACGCGTGTGTTTCATTATCCTTGGACGTGTGTTTTGCACCAGTTCTAGTCATGTTATTGTTAGGATGTGGTAAAAGTATAAATATGGGATGTAGATTGGGGAGATAGAAGTTGTAGTTGATGCTGGTTTCGTGCTGGTGGTGTGGCTATGTGCCTTGTTAACTCCGGGCCACTGCTCACTCTCATGAGTGGCAATAAAAGGTCTGCCACAATTTGTAATGCTAATGACTTAATCCGGCACTGCCTAGAATATGTACAAACATCACTCAATAGCTTTATAATTGCACTGGGCCAGCTTAGGCAAATTAAGTGGAGCACTGTAGGATTCAGGGAGTCAGGTGGTAATTTTGATGTGTCGATTGCAAGACTCCCAAATGTATGCGTATAAAAAAAATCCATACCTTTCACTCTCTAACCAGCTTCAACTCCAAATTGGACAAAAATCCTGAATCTAAAAGACATTAGACTGTGATCAGTTTCAGTTAGAAAAAAAGCTAATCAAGAAAAGAGAATTCAATTCTTATAATATTGAACCTTATTGGCACATCTTTAAAATGGGAACACCATGGGGAATGTTTCTGTTGGTATTATTTTGTTTGCAGGATTCTTCAGTCACAGAGGATGTGCGCACCATAAAAGATGCAGTGACATCCATTAAACTTATAATTCTTTTAGAATTTTTATTTATTAACTTTATTTGTCTTTAAGTAGATGCATGTGTTTTATCCATATATATTTGCTCCCAGTTTTTTTTAGATATTTTAGGATCTTCTCTTACTTAACATAAAATGAAATATTTTTACACCCTTCTGTCCTGACGTAATTAATGCAAACTGGTTCACGGGAAAAATAAATAACTACATAAATTCACTGCATCCATCCAGTGTAGGGAACACCACATCAGGTGTTGTGTCCAGCTCACACGAAGCACCTACTCCCCTATGTTATGGCTCCTAAGCAGGACAGGGCAAGGTTAAAAAATAATAAATAAATTAATAAAATAGAAGTTAAATGTCCTTTTAAGGTTTTCTCTTTATTTAAAACAACTTGAATTTTAGCAAAAAAAATTGTTTTGATCTGAAGATGTAGGCATAAAACTCATCGCAGATGTTCACAGGGGAATGCACAGCAACGATAAAATAATGATAAAATAAAAATGAGGCATGCACAGTGGTTTGCCATTGACCGTTTATATATGAGGCTTTAAAAGTTCATTATGCTGGCTTGTCAATATTCTCATTGGTACCACTAAAGGAATTACCCTAGCAACCAAATTCTTAGAACTCTATCTCAGCTTTGGAAAATAGAAGTTGGGATGTGTAACTCATATAACTCATTTAAGTCAAAAAGGGAACATTATAGTGTCATTGACCCCTCCATAGCAACCAATTTGGCATATCTCTATCTCAGTTGAGGAAAATCATAGAAACGTGGGTTTGTTTTACTCATATTTACAAGCGGAACATTATATTATGTCAGTGACCCCTCCATAGCAACCAGACTGTTGACCTTAGCAACCAATTTGGCATTTCTATCCCAGCTTAGGAAAAGCATAGAGACATGGTGGTTGCTTTATTTTACTCGTATTGACATGAAAAACTTTGAATAAATAGTTTTAAACAGCACTATGACAATGGCGCATGCAAATTTTAGCCATCTAGATAATTTGTTACTCAAGAACAGTAACAGTCCCATAAGGCATGCGATATGCTTTCAGAGTATAATTTTAAATGCTGCCCATCATTTACAGTGACCCCTGAAACTTAACGTAGCAGGTTCTATTCAATGTTACCATGGTTACTTACTTTAGGAACTAAAATCTGCAGTTTCCTGCTCACTTACTCTCAGAATTAGGCACATCAAGAAACAAGTGTTTGCAAAAATATCTGGGTTCTGAAATGTGCATCTATGTACACGTGAACTGCTTTTTAAGAAGATGATGAACTAGTTGCAGAAAATGTAACGTAAACATACTCAGTATTTTGCAAAGTAATGAAAAACTTAATTCATTCAAATTTACTATTAAAATGTATTCAAATAATTACACAAATGAATCCGTTTGACACATAATGTTAATATGTAAATACAGCTTCAGTCAGAAGCAGCCGCATCAAGCTCAAAAAAGAGTGACAGCACCACTGAGCACTGTTAGCAGTGGGAGCACGATCAAACATTTAAAAAAATACTCTTCGTATATATTGATGCTACATTCATAAAATTACCCAGTGTTTGCAAGATTTGTCATGCATATTAACAGATCATACGATGTTAAGTAACTTTGCTTTTAATAGAAGAGGTGCTTTTTATTGTTGGAAGTAAAGTAAACGTTTCAGGTTACAGTCTTCATCAGACAGAGACTAACCTTTTCATAGTAATATCTTTAATTCTATACTAGTTTATGTTAGATTCTATTACCCCTGTCTGAAATAGACACACAAAACCTACTCCCCCTTCCCAGACAAACACCCATACTCATGGAGAAGCGTATGCACTGACAATGTCCATCGAAGGCCTGTCCACCATCTGGCCCAGGAATGCACAGCTCCAATCAGATGGACTGACAGAGGCCTCCCTTTGTCTGAATGCTCTGTGCCTCCAGATCACTGTGAAAATACCTGAAAGAGAGAGAGAGAGAGAGAGAGAGAGAGAGAGAGAGATCTTCTGCTGTCCTCCTGAGCCATTTCCCTGCAGCTCTGCGGGCAGTGGCCAGTCACCACTTTGATCACTGTCAGACGAGGCTTTGAGGGCAGTTCATAGGGCTCTATGTGATGCAAGTCTGAACATTTTTATGCCTCACTTCCATGCCCTGTCCTCTGATCTGTCTCTTTCTGATTGGAACGCTTTCCTGTGGCTCAGTCAGTAGAGCATTGGTCCAGCAACACAAGGGTCTTGAGTTCAAATCCCAGGGAAAGCAAGAACTGACAAAATGTGTTCATCACTGTTACAAATATAAATTTAACTGCAAAATACAGAACAAGACAGTATTTCACAAAACGTAATAACTAGAATTTAAAGTGAACAAACATTTTAAATTGAACAGCTGTTAAAATGAAAATGCGCCTTGTTTCAAATTACTGTATTATCTCTAATATAAAAAAACGTGGTTTTAAATGTTCTAAAGTGTGTTTTTGGAGCATTTTTGTAAGAAACCCATGGGGTCACTTGGATTTAGACAGCTATAAACCATAAAACAAGATTACAATTTGGAAAATTTACAGTAGAATACTGTAGAACTACTGTATATTTGGGATTGGCAACCACAGCTATGGTAAAATGTAAAGTTTATTTTCCAGTTTGATTACCACTATTATTACAACAGAGATCTCTAAAAATAGACAGTTTTGAGATGTAAAAACATTTTTTATTAACAGTAATTCTACGAATACAAACTTTAAAGTTAGACAGTTCTAAACAGTTCAGTGGAAAAGATGAACCATAAATATTACCGTTTAAATCCTTGAATTGTACAGATTTAAAGTGTTTATATAGCAACAAAAATATGTTAATTAGACAGCAAAATTCAGTGTTCAAGTTCTGCCAACCATACATTATTTTACAGTGTGTAAAGGAAGTCGCTTTGCATAAGTGAATGGAACGCCCAGTTCATTATCTTTAGCTGCAGCACAGATTTAAATATTAAAGCTACTGGTAATATCAGTCGATAGATTACAGGCTGGAATTATTTACTGAGATTGTTGAGTGTCAGTAAATGAGGCGGTTGATAATAGCCATGTATTGAAGTGATGGATTTATGTTGTAAAGTGGAAGCCCAGCAGCCCGTCACACTGGTTTCTCATAGTAACCTGATATGTTCCTAATACGTGATGCGATACGTGATACGTTTTAAAATGAAGCTACATTTGCATGTTATAACATTCGAGTTCAGTCTCTCAAACCTACTTCCTCTTGTTCTCAAAAAAGACGTTTGTGTTGATATTTTTCTCTTGATTATGCATTTATAAACAATCACCAGACATTTTAAACATGGAATAATAGCAGAAACTCTAGAATGTTAAGCAGAAATATATGAAGGCTTCCTTCCATTTGAATCCATCCTCCTGTGTGAGCACATGACAGCAGTGGTGTGAGAAGACGCCGGGTTTCTTTCCTCCTAATGCCATGGGCTCATCCTGCCAGGCTCGCCAGCTCGATGGGATACTTAACCCCTAAGCACTAAAAGCTTTCAGGGTCAGATCTGCTTCAGACGCCAGAGTCAGTAATGGCAGCTTATGTCAAAACAAAGCAGATTCAAATGGGACGCACGGAGGCCGGGCTTCAGGTGCAGCGCTTCTGAGTCTCCTGAATGAACGTGGAGTTAGCAGAACGTCAGTTAGCTCGACTGTATGCATTTGACAAAGAAAAATGAATAAAATCATCATTATTGCTAGAGGATTACAAACAGAAATTTGGAAAAAGTGTTGCTTTTTGGTTTAAACGTGTCCTTTTTTCTTTTTTCAGGCCATTCGCTGTACTCTGGTAAACTGCACATGTGAGTGTTTCCAGCCTGGAAAAATCCACCTGCGGACGTGTGACCAGTGCAAGCACGGATGGGTTGCTCACGGTGAGGGTCTGTCAGTGCATGCTTACAACCGTTGCTAAACTTGTATTGATGACGTTTCGTACGATACAAAAGAAACACTATCACGGATTCACAACTTCACCGATTTTTTCCATTACGTATGTATATTACAAGAGAAAATATATAGCGGATTTTCCGGAAATTTCTAAAATAGTCGTGATATATGAAGACCCCAAATATTTCATTAATTACATTAATTAATATCTGCTACTACTGTTAAATAAATATGATGTCCCTACTTTGCGGATTTTCAGCCATCGCGGCCAGTTCTGGAACCGATCTACCGTGATAAGCGAGGGTTCACTGTATTATGAAGAAGACCATTTTATCATAATCACTCGGAGCATGTGATGTCACTCCAACTGATACTGAAAAATCAAAATGGATTGTCTACCCCGATCTTTGGAACCCAGCCACCTTCGGATCTTGCAATCGTGACCATCCATTGTGGTCTTTGGTGGCATCTATGTTACTCCCATGCGTCCCGCCTAACGGAACTCTGGCCTGGAGAAATAGAGGCCTGGATCCTTCCAAGGACTCTTGCTGGGTTGCCCACAAGTGTCCATTTGGACCTTGAGCTTGAACCAGTGCTGGAGTGTCCTCACATGGTCCTGTTTAATCACTGCCACTACTGAATCCTCGTAGCCTCTCCAGATATTCTGCCCTCTCACCGGGTCTAGCTCTGAGCGTGTTCATAAAACTGATACCCAGCAAAGGAACAAAAGTGAATAGAAATTAAATCCGGATTTGTCTTAAACCAGTATCAGTTTTTCTAGCAACACTGAAGGAACTGTGGGTGGTATTCAAACATCTTGGAGATCTTTCTCACATCTCTTCATGAAATCTCAGACATGATAATAATGAGATGTGGGGGAGCGGATCACGAGTATTTCCTGTTTTTTACACTGAAGATTGTTGGTAATGACCTTGGCTGCATGTTTAGAGTCAGAGTCATGTCATCGCTGCACAATAAATTTGGAGCCAATCATACACCTCCCTTATGGTTTGGCATGAAGGATCTACCTGTGCTTCTCAGCATTTAACCATTGAGCAAATCCCATAAACGTTCAAATCCGTCAAAAGTTCTTCACTTTTGCTGGTCCACTGAATATTTACCGTCCTCGCGCCCTCAACAAAGAAAGTTGTGTGTTTTTCTGGCTGCACCTCTTCCGCTAAGACCACACTTCTCCAGATAGTTAATGGGTGGACCTGAGTCCCTGGGCATCTATAATCATTGGCCACTTCTCTTCAAAAGAGCTTCAGCATCACATCTTGAAACCTGGGTCTGCTGTGAAGTAACTACCCCGTATCTTTATCTCAATCTCCATATTTATCTACATTTCCATCTCAATGTCTACATTTATCTCTATCTCCATCTCTATATCTATCGCAATCTCTATATCTCTAGCTCCATCTCAATGTCTACATTTATCTCTATATCTATCTCAATCTCTATATCTCTAGCTCCATCTCAATGTCTACATTTACCTCTATCCCCATCTCCATCTCTATATCTATCTCAATCTCTATATCTCTAGCTCCATCTCAATGTCTACATTTACCTCTATCCCCATCTCCATCTCTATATCTATCTCAATCTCTATATCTCTAGCTCCATCACAATGTCTACATTTATCTCTATCCCCATCTCCATCTCTATCTCAATCTCTATATCTCTAGCTTCATCCAATGTCTACATTTATCTTTATCTCCATCTCTATATCTATCGCAATCTCTATATCTCTAGCTCCATCTCAATGTCTACATTTATCTCTATCCCCATCTCTTTATGTATCTCAATCTCTATATCTCTAGCTCCATCTCAATGTCTACATTTATCTCTGTCTCCACTCCTTCTTTATCTCTATTTCTATCTTCATGTCTATATCTGTCTCCATCTCCATCTCTATCATCATCTCCATCTTTATCTCTATTATTATCTCTATCTCCTTCTTTATCTCTATCTTCATCACCTTCTTTATCTTCATCTCTATATCCACTCTTTCTTTGTTTCTATTTTTATCTCCATCTCTATATTTACATTTATGTATTTAGCAGACGCTTTTATCCAAAGCGACTTACATTGGGAGTAAACATCAAGCAGTTTGGTACAAAGTGGATTGACCAGAAGACATACACATCGAACACTTTCAAGCTAGTACAGGAAATGAATTCAGATCAGTGCTTCAGAGGGTTTTTTTTAGTTAAGTTAGTGAGTGCTCTCGAAAGAGTACAGTTTTTAGTAGCTATATCTGTCTCCATCTCTATTTCTTTTTCTTTGTCTCCATATCTATCACCATCTCCTTCTTTTTCTGTATTTTTCTCCTTTTTTACGCCTGTCTCAATTTCCATCTCTATCTCCATTTCTATCTCTTATCTGCTTTTTTCTCTATCTCAATATCTATACCTCAATTTATCTTGATCTCCAACTCTATCTCAGTGTCTTCATTTATCTCCATCTCCATTCTTTATTTCAATCTCTATACCTCCATCTCTATCTCATTTTATCTCTTTTTATATCGCAATCTCTATGTCTATCAGTAGTATATGAACATTGGTTCTTTAATTGTTCTTAGTAAAGTGTTTAGTGTGTTTTCATGTGTGTGTGTGTGTGTGTGTGTGTGCGCAGATGGGGGGGGGGTCATAGGTTTAAACTTATCCTTCTTGATCTGTACTTTTATCTGCCCCTCTCGCCTGAGCCAAGTGAAATTATTACTCCTCATAAACCTGCCTCTTTAGCCTGCCGATACACTCGCCTGCCTCACATATCCCTCCCTGTTATCTCTCTCTCTCTTACACTGATTTCATTAAGCTGTAAATAAAAGCATAGAAAGAGCAAGATATAGCTGGTGCGCTAGTGTAAACATCAAATAAAAGAGATGACAGTCAAAAGGATAGAGTTAAAGAATGAAAAGGGAGGGAGAGAAAGACAGCGGGGTTCATAGAGAGACAAAGGAAAACACCTGTTGGGCCATGATGAAAGAGAGAGAGAGAGAGAGAGAGAGAGAGAGGCCTAAAGGGACCTCGTTTTCCTTTCATTGTGAAGTGTCAGCCGCTATCGCTCTCCTCCTCCTCTCTTCACTCCTCTCTGCCACAGACTTCTCATTTTGTCTGTAGTGTTGGCAGCCATTCTGACAAGTAGTTCTTCATTTTTTATTATGTTCGTGTCTAGCACGGCCTGCTTTCATGCAAAGATCTAGTCAGCACAAAGAAATCACTCCAGAAATAAAGGAGGCAAACGCAGGTGTCACACAGAAAGAGCCAGACCCTTACAGTAAACAGAAAGAGAGCGCATCGCTGGCACTGTTCTTCCTCTGCACACATGCCCCGCCAGG